GAGGAGGCGGGGGAGGGGGCGGAGGGCAGGGGAGCCAGGTGGAGGCGGCAGGCCAAGGTCGCCTGGGACTACTTTGTGCTGTGAGTGCCTGGCTGGCTGGCTGGCGCGAGTGCCTGCTGGCTGCTATGGCTGCCTGCTGGCTGCTGGCGGCCGCGATGGCGGTGCGGTGGCCTGCGCCGCCACGGAACAGCCGGGCTCTCTCACCGCTGCCAGCCCCCTTGCCAGCCCTCCGCCTCCCCGCGGGTCGCTGCCCGGCGCCTACCCCGCTCACCCTCCTCCCTCCTGGACCCCTGGCACCCGCCCGCGCCGCCGCCGCGCAGGTATGTGGTGCAGGGGCCAACCGTGGCTGCTGTCATCAGCCTGATCATCGGCTGCATCACGCCCCTCAGGGAGCTCTTCTTCCCAGTGACGGTGAGGAGGCTGGCAGGGGGTGGCTGGCAGGGCGCGTGGCTGGTGGGCCGAGGGCTGCGCCAAGGGCTGGGCTGGCTGGCAGCAGATGGACGCCTGCAGCAGCCCGTGCCAGCCTGGTGCGTGACTTGCGGCCCGCCCGCCTGCTCAGCAGCAGCACCACCAACGTCGCCCACTCGCCACCACCACCTCCGCGCCCTGCCTGCCCCCGCCTGCAGAGCGCGGCGCTGGGCTTTGTAACGGGCGCCATCACCAGCCTGCAGAGCGCATACGTCTTCATCGCCTCATTCATCCTGGGGTCGGTCATGGCGCGGGTGGGTGCACCGGAGGGGAGGGGGAAGGGAGGGGCCCAGGGGCCTGGGGCGAAGCGGGCACATGGGGTGCACAGGCAGGGACAGCGGCCCTTGGGCAGGGGAGCCCAAGCGATCGCTCCTCGCGCGCGGAGTCGCTCTCCCAGCCTCCCCGCTCACCAGCCCGCGCCGCCGGCCGCCCAGCACCGCCCCTTGGCTGGCCACGCACCCCCTGCCCACGCCCCCGCAGGGCCCCGGCCCCGGCACCAAGACGATGGGCCTCAAGGCCTGCCTGTGCACGGTGGGCGTGCGCTTCATCATCCTCCCCGTCGTGGGCTGCCTCATCGTCATCGGCAGCATCAAGGCGGGCTGGTACATGCCGGCCAACCCGGTCTTCTCCTTCCTGCTGCTGCTCCAGGCAAGCCGGCGGGCGGGGCTGCTGGCGCCTGCCACCACATCCCCCCACCCATGCACGCGCCAACAAGCACAGCCCCTGCATGTGCTGCTTAGTGTTGTGCCCGACCCGCTGCTCAGCGCTGCGCTGCATGGCATCCGAGCTGTGCTGCAGTACGCCACCCCCACCGCCAACCAGATCCAAAACATGGCCTCCATGTTCCAAAACCACGAGAAGGAAATCGGTGAGGCGGCAGCGCTGGGTCCGCCGCCTGCCGCGACCCGGCCGCCCCGCCCGCGTGCGGCATCGCCCCGCTGGCGCTCCCCAGACCGCGGCTGCTGGCGCGGCTGCTCTGCCTCGCCCCGCGGCCGCTCTGCCCCTGCTACATCGGCGCTCCACCGCCACCTGCCCCCTGCCCCGCAGGCGCCGTCATTTTCTGGGAGTACATCATTGCCATGCTGGCCATCCCCGCCTGGTGAGCTGGCTCGCCGCGCTGTGCCGCCCTGCTTCTGGCGAGGGTGTCGCGCCGCGGTGCCCCCACCCGCGCCGCCGCCGCTGCCCTCGCCTGCCGCCACCGTTGCCACCTCGCGCCCCCACACCCATGCTCACCCATCCGCGTGTACCTGCGTCCCCACGCCGTGCAGGATGGTCATGTTTCTGTTCTTGATGGATCGGTTCGACCTGTACGAGGGGGCGTGATGAGGGCCTGAGCACAGTGCGGCAGGGGGCTGGGGGCTGCCTGCCCGCCGGCCCATTTGGTGCCTGCCGGCGCCCCTGAGTGGACGAAGTTTGAAGCTGTTGGCCCGACTTGGCATTCCGATACGGCTGCTGTGGTTCCTTGCTGCTGCTTCTGCCTGTCGCTCTCTGTTGCTGGTTGCTGCCCAGTCGACCTCCCAGTCAGGTGCCCCAATGCACCATGCCCCATTTGCGAGGGCGTAGCAGGATGTGACATTGATTGTTGTTTCTCTCATCAACCGAAGCAATGTTTGCATCGAGCACATGCGCTAGGCGCCAGTGCTGTGTAAAGCCAGAAAGAGCCCTTCCCTTTTGAGAGGTGCGGAGGGCAGCCTGTGGTTTGGAGCACGCGCCAGCCGACAGTGCTGGAGCAAGCTGTTCAGAGCTGGCAGTGGCAGATGTCTTGAAGATGACAGATGTCTTGGGCCTGAGGGCTTCTGGAGTTGGTGCTTCGACTTAGATTTGGCGGAGGGCGCACCTCAGGAAGACCTGGCAGCAGCAACTGTAGCAGCAGCTGGGGCCAGCAGCAGCAACAACAACAGGCATGCCCTGCCCTCCCATTCACCCTCTTGTTGGTTGTGTGAGTTCACATAATGGATGGTGTGAGGCATTTCAGGTGAAACAGGAAAGAATGTGGTTATCGGTGGGCAGCACGCTCAGCTGTGAAGGATGCGAGTGTTGGTGGCACAGAGTGATGGTGAGAAGAAATGGGCAAGCAGCAGAGGAGCTGTGTAGAGCAGTAGGAAACAGTGAATGAAAGAGGGTGGTGAAATGGCCAAGGGATGTACAGGCAAAAGAGGAGAATAAGGGGCAGGGGTGTATACATGGCTGCAGGTACAGGCTCAGTGGTGGTTGCCGGCGTGGTCGCTGCGCTGCACGTGGAAGAGCTCGGGGTTGGGGCACAGCAGGCCCTGGTAGGTGTGGCGGTCGTAGCCCACGGTGTAGGAGCGGGGGAAGTCGAGGTGCGGGGCGCGGGGGCGGCCATCCTCCACCGCCAGCCACACGCGCACCAGGTGGCGCTTCTCGTGCGCCGCCTCGCCATCCTCGTAGGCGGAGCGGCGGTGCAGCAGGGTTGCGTTGTTCATGAAGCAGCAGTCGCCGGGCTGCAGGTAGGTCTGGAACTCAAACCGCGGGTCTGAGGCAATCTCGATGAACATATCAATCGCCTCCTCCATCTCCGCCGTCATGGGGCCCAGCTCAGGCCACTGCTTGTGGCAGGCGCGGGTGTGGCCGGGGTGGAAGTGCACGCTGAGGCGGCTCTCGTGGTAGTGGAACACAGGCATCTCCCACACGGGGCAGTCGCCGGGGCGCACATCCTGGTACTTGGTGCGGTCGCGGTACCAGCCGGGGCCCGCCAGGCATGCCACCAGGTCGCCACGCCCGCGCCGCAGCATCTCGTTGTGCACAGCCAGGGCCGAGGACCAGCCGCTGACGCCGCCGGACTTGGCCTGGCTGATGCACAGCAGGCCCAGCACGTCGGCCTGCGCGTCGGTGTGCCAGTCAAACTCCAGGTTGGTGGCGTGGCCCTGCTGCGCAGACTTGCCGTCGCTGCCGCCCTGCACAAACTTGGCGCCGGGGGCAACCTTGAAGCCCTGCGCCGCCTTGATGTGGCTGATCAGGTTGCCCTGCTTGTTCCAGGGGGTGCGGTACCCGATGTGCGCCGCCAGGCCCAGGTAGGCAGCCAGGTTCTGCCACTCGCTCCAGCGCTGCGCCGGCAGGCCGCGGATCACCAGCACGCCGTTGCCGTGCAGCAGGTTGTGCTTCTCAGCCGCCAGACGCGCCTCCAGCGCCGCAGGCAGCGGGAAGTCGGTGGGGCGCTTGAGGGCGGTCAGGGTCACGCCCGCCGCCTGCAGCGCCGCCACGCGCTCCTCCACCGCCGCCACGTCCTCCTGGCTCAGCTGCAGCAGCCACTCAGACTGCCGCTGCGCCAGGTCGGCTGCCAGCCAGGCCTGGGGGTCGTCGATGATGGTGTAGGGGCGCACGCAGCCCTGGGGGCCGCTCTCCAGGGTCACGGGGCCGGTGGGCACCTTGAGGCCCTCCAGACCCTCAGACTCCACGCGCACCATGGCCTTGCCCTTGGAGAGGCCGCGGCTCAGGGCGGCGGACAGGCAGCGCTGCGCGGGCTCCTCAAAGGGGGAGTCGCCCAGGGCCATGGGGGCAGACTCGCTGCAGCAGGCGGGGAGGGTGGGCGGGGAGGGTGGGCGTGGGGCAGATTGTCAGTGAAGGGTGCAGGCCAAGCAGGGTGCCTTCAGCCAGCTGATCCATTCCCAGCCAGACAAACAGCCAGCCAGCCAGCCAGACAGCCCAACCAGGCAAACAATAAAGCTGCTTGAACCAGCTGAACAACTGCTTCCCACCCAACCCACCTGACGCGTGCCAGGCGGGCCGACATGCGGCACGACAGGGACTGCGTCAGCTGCTCGCAGCCGGTGGCGTGGACGCTGCTGGGCTGCTGCACGGCCGCCATGGTCAGTTGGCACACGCAGGGGATACGGGTAGGGGTGTGTGCTGGGAATAGATCGCGAAGAGCAGGAGGAGAGCTGGTTGTGAGCGCTGGGTAGACCGTGGGGTGTGATTGATGTGAATTAAGGATGCAGGGGCGAGGCCCCGCCCTGATATAGCGAGGTGGTTCAGGTGCCAGATGGCGCGGCCTGCGCGCGGGTGTCCACATGTCCCCCCCTGGCACCAGCTGGCGGCGAAAGGGGTCACCTGCGTCATTCCGGAGCTGGGCTGATGCAGGGGGCCGGCAGCTGGCGGGGCCGCGTGGGCCCGGGCTGCCAGCGCGCCGCCACCCGCTGCTGCCGGCCGCATCAATGGGGCATGCGGTCAGGCAGGCTGCCTGCAGGCCCAGTCCTTGTCATTGGCGGAACTCAACCGCCTCAATGGCGCCCATTTGACTTGATGTTCCTGCTCAGGGTCCTACACAAGCCCCCAACCCGTTGGGAGGCATGGCGGGAGCCCTGCGGGCAAGGGGGCATCGGCGACAGGTGGCCACAGGTGGCCCTCAGGAGGCTATGCACAGCACTAGATGCGGTGCAGAGGACAGGGTGTTGACTGCTCTTTGTGTGCGCTCGGTGCAGAGCCGTGGTTTACGGTGCTGCTGATGCCGCCTGGCCCGGCCTTCCCGAGGCTGCGGGGCTTGCTTCAGGCAGCCTTTCGTTGGTCCATACACGCAGCAGCCCATTGTGCATGTGCCGTATTCCATGCAGCATTACTGCCAGGACGTGGGCTGGTTGTGGTGGGAGTGGCTCACCCCTGACAACAGTGGCAGGAGTTGGGCTGCTGCCAGTCTGTTGCTGCGCCCGCCGCGGCAGGGCTGGCTGTTGCTCTGCTTTTCAGTTCTCCTGTGCATCGCCATGCCGCCAGCCCATGGCCTGCCACCTTTGCTTATTCTCACACTTGAACAGTTAGAGCCAGCGTGCTGCTGAGCAGGCACAGCAGTCCTGGGCTGCCCAGCTGGCGGCCGGTCTCGCAGCGGTCGGCATGCAGCTGGACCTGCAGCAGCCAGCACCTGTTGACCTCGGCGAGCTGGGGGAAGCTGCGCAGTGCCGCCAGCTGGCGCAGCTCCAGGAGGCGCTGGCGAAGGGCGGCGCCAGCCGGCTGGAGCACTATGTGCACAACGTGGTGGGCGCCCTCAACCTGGCGCCCGCCATGTTTGGGCAGCGCGAGACCTACCTGGATGCAGTACGGCGCCGGCAGGACCGCGAGGCGCTGGCGCAGCTGCGCACCGGGTCGCATTGGGGCGCGGAAGAGACCGGCCGCTGGACGCGGCGCCCCCGAG